CTACTACTACTACTACTACTACTCTTACGGCTACTACTACCACTACTACTATTGAGAGTATTGTTTGCAACTACTTGGACCACTACTACTACCACTACTACTGGTGCTACTACTACTATCTACGACTACGAATGTTACTCGTGCTGCCGCTACTGCTGCTGCTACTACCCAGATCATTACTATCCCTACTACTCCTAGGGTTACTACCACCACGACTCTTGTTATTGTTTTGACTACTAGTACCAGTACTAGTACTAGTATTCGTTTTCCTGTTAATATTACAGCCACTGGCACTACTCTTACTACTCTTACTACGACTACTACTACTACTATTACTACCAGTACTATTATCACTACTAGTACTACTACTGCTACTACTACTACTGCTTCTATTACTACTGGAGCTACTACTACTACGCTACGACTACGACGACTACTACTACTACTACTACTACTACTACTACTACTACCACCACCACCACCACTGCTACGACTACTACCACGACTTCCACGACTCTTACGACTACCATTTTTACGAGTACTACTACTACTACTACTACTACTACTACTACTACTACTACTAATACTAATACTACGGATGGTGGCTATTATTTCGATTCGCGTAGCCACCACCGCTGCGACTACTACTACTAGTACTACTGCTACTGCTACTGCTACTACGACTATTGTGGTTACAAGTGCTTCTGCTATCATGAGAACTACGGCGTACTACGACGACGACTATTGCGTCTACTTCTACGAGCAGTGCTGCTACTATTACTGCTACGGCTACTGCTACTGCTGCTGCTGCTGCTACTGCTACTACCACTCTTACTATTACCGTTATCACGACTAGCATTACTACCGCGACTACGGCTACTACGGTTTCTTCTACCACTGCGGCTGCTGCTGCTGACTATTACTACTGCTGCTCGTAAGAGTATTAGTACGGTTGCGACCACCACGGTTACTATTATTACTACCACTGCCACTACTATTTTCATTGTTACTGCTACTATTACTACTACATCTAGCATTGCGATGCGTATCAATAGTTTCATCACTACTACGTTTACTCAGACTACTACTGGTAGTCGTACGACTAGTTCTACTATTGGACTACTACTGTTAGTACTGCTGCTGCTACTTCCCACCTGTTTTATCTACTGCTGTACTATTGCTACTACGATTTCTACTACAGCTGCCACGGCTACTATTGCCCAGGATACCACTACGCACTATTACGACTACCAGTATTCCTACGATTATTGTTATTGTTGTTTCTTTCGAGAACTACTATTGCGATAACCACTATCACTACATGCGCTACGGCTACTACTACTAGTATTACTTCTCCTATTACTATTACTACAGTTACTACGGGTACTTTTTCTTACTATCACTACCGTACGACCACAAATACGATTACTACGACGACGGCGACCACCCGTACTACTACTAGTACTACTACGACGACTACCATTAGAATTGCTACTGCGACGACTAGTAGTATTACTATTACTACTACTACTTCTACTTCCACCTCCACTACTACTACTACTACTACTACTACTACTACTGCTACTACTACTACTACTGCCACTACTTCTACCAGTACCACCACCACTACTACTACTACTACTACTACTACTACTACTACTACTTCTACTACTACTACTACTACTACTACTACTACTACTACGATTATTATTCTTACTACTACTACTACTACTACTACTACTACTACTACGGATACTACCACTCCTTGTGCTACTACTACTGTTACTACTACTACTACTACTACTACTACTACTACTACTACTACTACTACTACTACTACTACTACTACTACTACTACTACCGCTACTATACTATCATTACTACTACTACGGCTACTACTACTACTACTACTACTGTTACTACTACTACTACTACTACTACTACTACTACTACTACCACTACCACTACTACTACTACTACTACTACTACTACTACTACTACTACTACTACTACTACTACTACTACTACTACTACTACTACTACTACTACTACTACTACTACTACTACTACTACTACTACTACTACTACTACTACTACTACTACTACTACTACTACTACTACTACTACTACTACTACTACTACTACTACTACTACTACTACTACTACTACTACTACTACTACTACTACTACTACTACTACTACTACATCTACTTGTCCGGCTGCTGCTACTGTTGCTGTTGCTGTTCTTTTTTGTCCGTCTAATCCCCCCTTCCCGGGATGTTTGTTCGTCCTATGTGTTTCATCTCTTGCAACGGGCCCCATGAGTTCTTGCATTTGTGATGCAGAACGCGGCAAACTTACCTTGGCGAAGGACCCAACCATATGCCGTTGTGGGTACCGCAATTGTGAACATCTTCTCCTGTGGTACTCCCTATAGGGCCACGAAGCGCTGCACTGGGTTGGGGGAGCGCATGCGGACGATGGCATTGGGGCCGTCGGTGGATTTCAATATTGGGCCACGAAGCGCTGTACTGGGTGGGGGGGGGAAGCATGCGGGCGGGAGCACGGGGGCCTTGGGTGGAGCTCCGCATGGGGCCACGAAGCGCGTTGTATTGGGCGGGGGGGACGCATGCGAGCGGTAGCACTGGGGCCTTCGGTGGGGCTCCATTTGGGGACACGACGCGGTGTATTGAGTGTGTGTGTGTGTGGGGGGGGGTGAGACGCATGCGGGCACCCACACTGGGTCTTTGGGTGGCACTCCCTATGGGGCCACGAAGCGCTGTAATGGGTGGGGGGGGGGGGACGCATGTGGGCACCCACATTGGGGCCTTGGTTGGAGCTCCCTATGGGGCCACGAAGCGCTGTACTGGGTGGGGGTGCGCCCGCGGGCCCCCCCACTGGGGCCGTCGGTGGAGCTCCCTATGGGGCCACGAAGCGTTGTATTGAACGGGGGGGGCGCATGCGGGCCCCCCCACTGGGGCCGTCGGTGGAGTGCAGTATGGGGCCACGAAGCGTTGTAGGGGGGGTGGGCGCATGCGGGTGGTAGCATTGGGGTCGTCGGTGAAGTTCCCCATGGGGCCACGAAGCGCGGTACTGGGTGTGGGTGACGCACGCGGGCGCCCCCAGTGGGACCTTCGGTCGAGCTCCTTTTAGGGACAACGAAGCGTTGTGCTGGGTGGGGAAATGGGGGGCGCATGCGGACACCGTCATGGGGTCCTTCGGTGGGGCTCTCTATGGGGCCACGAAGCGCTGTGCTGGGTGGGGTGGGGGACGCATGCGTGTACCCCCACTGAGGCCGTTGGTGGAGCTCCTTATGGGACCGCGAAGCGTGTGAGGAAGGAGGAGGAACAAGAGGAGGAGGAAGAGGGGGAGGAGGAGGAGAGGAGAAGAACGCGGGGAGCGTTTTTCTCTTCTTTTCCTCCCCCCCGTCCTCCTTGAAGAGACGCTTCGAGCGTCTCTTCAAAACGAGGACCCAACACCGCAGGACAGTTGGGGAAAATAAGTTATACACAAACAGCGCAATGGCCCGAATCATCTGTTTTGACAACTGGTCCTGGGGCCTCTCTCCTCTCCCACGCTCCTCCGCCCCTCCCCTTATCTCTCCGTTATCATCCCTTCCTTGTGATCCTCCCCGGAGTCACGAACGTGTGGCAGGGCTAGGTCGACGTCGCCGTCGTCGCCGCCGTCGCCGCCGTCTTCGTGCGACGACGACGATGACGACCTCTTCTTGACTCGTCATGCATCCCACGTGCGACTTGCCAGGGCAAATCGTTCTTTATCCTGGACTTCTAACTTTATGATCCCCCAAGTGCTCTTATCAGGGGTAGTTGGTTATGGCCTCCCGTACGGCTCCCAATCTTTGCGCACTGCAGCATCAGGTTTTCTTGCAGTCGAGACCTCCCTGGTGGGGTCGCCGCGATGCGGCTCGAAGTGGAGCCCGATTTTCTCTACGCCGACGTCGCCGATGCATCGCCGACGTCGCCGATGCATCGGCGAGACATCGGTGATGCGGTGCAATCCTCCGACCCCATCAATTTGGACTCCATCTGTGAGGCCTCTATAGTCAGCCGAGACGCTGAAGGAACGGACCGCTTTGGATTCTGAAGGGCCTCGCTGTTTCTCGGGTCGTTCTGTGGTTTCCCTGGCGTTCCTCGCCCACACAGGCGCTTTTGGGGCCACCAGGGGCTTCGTTTCTTATTCAGCGTTCCTTCTTTCAGCAGCCCGATTGCAGTCGTGTCACTATTTCAATTAGAAATTTGGCATTCTGCCGTCAGGGTGTAATTTTATTTGTCACCGCGTCGACGCGTGATCATCACAGAGGCCATCTCTTGTGCAACACTCTGAGCTGGACGTCTGTGCAGTGGGGAGGTTTGAACGAGTTGGTGGGTGGAGATACGATGAGGACCAGGATCGGTGAACAAACAATGACACACACACATAACCACTCTGAGGTCCGCGCGATTTCTTTGATGCGCCGGTCCAAGAAATTCGCGCGGACCTCCGAGTTGTTTCGTCATGTTCATCTCATGGTTTGTTCCCCAAGATGGGGACGAGGAGGGTTGAGGACGAACAGGAGGTCGAGGAGGAGGTTGAGGAGGAGGAGGAGGAGGAGGAGGAGTAGCACGATCAGGAGGAGGGTGAAGACTAGGAGCACTAGGAGGAGGCTGAGGACGAGCTTCATCAGGAGCACGCTCAGGAGGAGGAGTAGCCCGCCCTCCCATTCCGTCGCCGGCTCGTTGTCTTCTCGTTGCACCGTCTTTCCCGGTGCCATGGGTTTGTTGTTTGTTCTTTCCAGTCCCCGATTGTCTTTGTTTCCAGCGTTGGCCACCGTGTTGATGATCTTCCAGTTTGCTTGTTCTGGCGCTCTTGTGCATATGCAGTTGTATGGTTTGCATCGAGTTTGTAGTGGGTAAGCAGAACATTTGCAGGCACATCCTCACGCGCGTGAAAGGGAGTCACAGGGTCCTGTGGGGAGAGATGCTTGAAGGGGACTGCGACAGGCGCAGCTGCCACTTCACGAAGCTCCAGCGTACACGAAAGCTGAGGTGATGGAGAAGCTGAACAAGCTTTCGAGGGACCAAGTGCCAGCTATTCACGACTAGTGTGTATGCTCGCGCTTGTGTCACTATGCGTGTGTGTGTGTGTGGGTGGTCCTTTCTCGCATGGACACTACTTGGGTAAACGTCAGTCCTTGCTTCATCTAGAATGTTCTGCGACAGCGGGAATGCTCGTTGCTTGTAAGTCCAAGCGCGAAAATATGTATAGCAAATTTGTGTGTAGATTCATAGATACGCGCGCAGATGTGCACCCATGCATCCAGTGGCCTTCGGCCCATTCTGCCACCGTGCCTTGGTTGTTGATCAGAGACCTCCTGGACGCCTGAGTGATCTTCTGGGAGGTCTATCGGGAGCCTCTCGGAGGCACATTTGGATGATATTGGAGCGTATCGGGGGGCCCTTGGGGGCCTCGGGGGGTCTGAGTTGGGCATCTTGAATGCCTCCTGGAGCCTCGGGGGGGGCTGCTTGGGGCGGAGAGCTCGAAATGGCGGTTCGTGTTTGTGCCCCTTGTGTGAATCTCTTGAGGCAGCTTTGGTGGCATCCTGGGCCTTCGTACGTCTTTCTTGGGCCGTCTGGAGGCCTTGTTGGGGGCCTCTTGGGCCGTCTTGAGGCGATCTTGGGGGCCTCTTGGGCCGGACTGGAGCGTAGAAAGCCCGCAACGGCGACGACGCTACGCTCTTTCATCCATCCAACGCAAGTGCGCCTCGCGATCCCCCCCCCCCAGCCCATCCCGACACGATCGGAGCCTTTCTTGAGGCCTCTTGGAGGATATCTTGAGCCATGCTCGGCTGGAGGCTGTCCGAGGCTATCTTGAGCTATGCTCACCTATCTTGGACCATCTTGAGGCTGTATGAGGCCTCTTGGAGGTCTGTCCGAGGCTATCTTGAGCCATGCTCGACCTCCTGGCACCATCTTGGGGGTAGAAGTGGAAGAGGGAGAGGAGGAGGAGGAGGAGGAGGAGGAGGAGGAGGAGGGGGAGGGGGAGGAGGAGGAAGGAGGGAAAGAGGAGGCGAGGGAACACGAGGATGAGGAGGAGGAGGAGGAGGGATGCGGCACGAGGAAGATGATAAGGATGATGAGACAGGAACAGAAGAGGAGGGGAGGAACGGACGATGACAAGAAGGATGAGACCATGGGCCTTTGAGATATTCTGTTGTGAGAGGTTCTTGAAGGACGATTGAGGCTATCTTAGGGGCTCTCTTAGGGTCCCGTGGGGCCTCTCGGGGCATTCTTGGGGCCCTCTTGAGGCTCATTTTGGGTGGGGCCCTCTTGTGGCTCATTGGAGGGGCTTGCAGGCCTCTTGGGCCCCGTCGCTCAAAACGAGGGGTGTCCTCAATTCAGGTCCCCCCCATGGGAGACTCAAACATATTTGACGCTACCAGCCACTTCACTGTTTCCTCTTTGCTGCGGAGCGCGTCCCGCCCTAGCACGCTCGGCGTTCGACTCGTCTTCGCGCGCCCGCGGAACAACAACTACCCCGACCAGCCCATCCAGAAGCGATGCCCAGGAGAGTTGTCTTGATCAGGGAAGCAGAGGAGCATGCAGTGGATCAAGAGCCTGGGGAGCCGTCAAACTGAAGCGACGCAGGAGCGATATGCGCTTTCGCGGACCTGCCGAATGAGGAACGGTGGGGGAGAATGACGAGGGGGACGAGGGGAGGAGGAGGAGGAGGAGGCGGAATAGGAGGAATAGGAGAGAGAGGGTACAGTGGAGGAGGGTGAGGAGGAGGAGGAGAGGAGAGGAAGAGGGGGGGAGGGAGGAGGGGGGCCGAGACATAGGCGAATGAGGGGGGGAGGAGGAGGACCACTGGAAACCCAAGAGTCACCAACGATGTTGGAATTAACCCTCCCTCCAAGCTCCCTCTTCATAGGCCCCTACAGCGGTTCATTTCAATTTAGGGAGCTGCCTCGTTGGAAGACAAAAGTTTGAAGATCCTGAAGCGTGCCAACACATTGTTCCTGGGATTCCAACGCCACGTATCAACCCGACTGCTGCGTCTTGACCATCGAGAATCGCACCAGGACGCCACTTCGGGGAGTTCAACACAGCGAATCAACCGAACTGTTGCGCCCGCATAACCATGACTCCGTCCAAAGCACCATTTCTGGTACGTTGATCATGGGAATCCGTGAAACCCTTGCAATTTGTTTGTTTAAACGAATGTGCGCGGCGCTAAGGCGAGAGCATCAGTTTGAAAACGACCCGCCTTCAGTCCGTGAAACTCTTGCAAATGTTTTAAACGAATGTGCGCGGCGCTGAGGCGAGAGCCACATCCTGAAAACCACCCGCCTTCAATCAGTGGAACTCTTGCACATGTTTTAAACGAATGTGCGCGGCGCTAATGTGAGAGACACAGTTTGAAAACGACCCGCCCTCAATCCGTGAAACTCTTGCAAATGTTAAAACGAATGTGCGCGGAGCTAAGGCGAGAGCCACATCCTGAAAACCATTCGCCCTCAATCCTTAAAACTCTTGCAAATGTTTAAACGAATGTGCTTGGCGCTAAGGCAAGAGCCACAGTTTGAAAACGACCCGCCCTCAATCCGTGAAACTCCTGCAAATGTCTTATACGAATGTGCGCGGAGCTAAGACGAGAGCCACATGTTGAACACCACCCGCCCTCAAGCCGTGGATCTTTTGCACATTTTAGAACGAATGTGCGCGGCGCTAAGACGAGAGCCACATGTTGAAAATCACCCGCCCTCAATCCGGGAAGCTCTTGCAAATGTTTAAAAAGAATGTGCGCGGCGCTAAGACAAGAGCAACAGTTTGAAACCGACCCGCCCTCAATCCTTTAAACTGTTGTCACATATTGACAGAGTCATAAGTGGTGAGGAAGTCTCCGGCGAAACGCCCAGCCCGCCGTAAAAACCGGCCTCAGGGTGCGACAGGAAGGAGTTATTTATAAGGAGAAGGAATGGATGAGGAGGAGGAGGAGGAGGAGGAGGAGGAAGAGAGGAGGAGGAGGAAGAGAGGAAGAGAGGAAGAGAGGAAGAGGACGAGGGAAATGACGAGTTTGGGGGCCTATTGGGGCGTCTTGGGAGCCTCTTGGCGGTCCCGGGCGCCTCTTAGAGCGTCTTGGGTGCTTCGGGGAGCCTCTTGGTGCCTCTTGGGGGTCTCTTGGGGGTCTTCAGGACATTTTGGAGCCTCCTTGGCGCCTCTTGGGGCGCTCGGGGGAGCTGGGTGATGAGCTCTTGGAGCCATCTAGGGGGAGATCGATCAGACAAGGGCGGGGTACTTAATTAGCCCTGCATTTCTAGAGTGCCTAAATTCGTCTCTGGACCCTTCTTGGACCCCTCTTGGAGCGCTCTTGGGGCCGTCTTGGGGCTCTCTTGTGCCTCTCTTGGAGCCCTCATGGGCCCTCTTGGAGCCATCTTGAGGCCTCAGAAGGCAATCGGACGAAAAATGGCGAGAACGCCACATTCATTGATTTTCTTTAGGTGTTTGAAGGATTCCAGCCGCTGGGCGGCCTCCTGGGGAGGTTCCGTGACCACTTGGAGCAGTCTTGGAGCGGTCGTCGGGCCTCAAGGAGCATTCTGGGAGCCATTTTGGGGCCATCTTAGGCTATCTTGAGCCATCTTGGAGGTCATCTTGGGCTCTGAGGCCCTCTTGGAGCCATCTTGGGCCATCTTGGACGCTCCAACGCCTCGCGGAACCCCCCCTCCAGGTCCAGGGGAGGGGGTAGGGGGGAGGTCAATACACCCTCCTAGATAGCAAGCCGTCTTGCTCACTCCCACCCTCCCAACACATAAGTAACACCCGAGCCTCTGCATGTTCAGCGGTCGCCTTTCGATGGACAGCTACTGGGAGCCAGAACCGAGCCCATGTGCGGGACGCTTGGGCGCGGTGCGCCACGCGTGCCAGGCGCGCCACGTGCTCCAGGCACCCATGGGGTCCTGGCGTGGCAGGCACGCCTGCTGCGCCAGATGCGCCACGTGCTCCGCGTGCGCCGGGTGTGCCGCATACTCCAGCCGCACAAGGTGCGCCACGTTCGGGGCACGCGCAGTTTGTGTCAGGTGCGCCTGCGCATGTGACAGCACACATCGGGAAACATGTCGGCCCCCACCACCCTTGTCGAACAGCAATGCCCATCATTGTGTCGGGTGGGCCTGCGCACAGCAGGCTATGCGTCACCACCCCCTTGTCCAAAACCACTTGACCGTGATCGCGGGGTGGCATCATCCAGATTTAGCCGCGAGGTGCATGTTGTATTGTTTTTTCTAAGGGATGGTAGCCCTGCGCGCAGCAGGCAATCTGCTGACACCCCCGCCGTCCTTGCCAAACACAAAACAAAGTGCTCGCGGGCCTCACGAACATGACCCAGGACTCTGCCCCAAAGTGTACTTTGCATGGCTTTTTGACAGGGATAGTGGGGGGGGCGCATCGGGTTGGCCGCGCATGCTCCTAATGTGGAGGCAGAGCGCGTTTTGACAGGGACGGCGGGGGGGGCCTGCATGGTTCCTGGTTGGCCGCCGGTCGCCTGGGGGAGGGGGTGTATAGTAATAGGGAACAGTGGTCAGCCCCTCCCCGAAGGGGAAGAAGGAGGTTGGAAGAGAAATCGCACTAGACCGCCTGCGCCCAGAGGGCTGGTGGCATTACGTCTTTGGGCCATCCTGGGCCGCTCTTGAAGCGCTCTTGGGCGCTTTCGGGGCACTCTTGTGGCCCTCTTGGGCCCCTCTTGGGGCTCTCTTGGGCCATGTTGGGGCCACCATGAGGTCTACAAAGCCCATTGGAAGCACAACAGCGAGAAGGCCAACACATGTCTGTCCAAGGTCTTTGAAGGATTCTGACTTCTTGGAAGTGCCTTGGAAGGGTCCAAGAGCACTTGAAACCGTCTTGGGGCTGTCTTGGGGCGTCTTGAAGGCATGTCGAAGGCTATCTTGAGTGATTAGCGGCTATCTTGAGTCATCGTGGAGGCCATCTTGGTCTTTCTGAGACCCTCTTGGAGCCATCTTGGGCCATCTCGGACGTTCGAGCTATTCGCGGGGCGGTCCGTCTGAACCAAGGGGAGGGGGTAG